GGATTCAAGAGATGGAGAGTAGGAGCAAAGAGGTGAAGATGGGCGAGGAGGTAATAACAGGGTCACACAATTTGATGGGTAGAGGGAGGTATGGGTAAAGGAAATGGGAAAGAGCTGGTGTGAAAAACAATGTATATGAACTTTGTACGTAAATCAGTATAAAAGAAAATAAAATTTAAAATGAAAAAAAACCTAAATAATAATACCCCTCTATGCTTGGATCAGGAGACAGTTTCCAGAATAGAGCAGGAAAGTACTACATGGTTCAAAATCAAGAAAGTGTGTGTCCTGTCTTAATACATTTCAATCTATATGTGGAATAGATCATTTAGGAGATTTGACTTTACAAAAAGGAATGTGGCTTCAGGATTAGAGGAAGACTCAACAACACTGTGTTATGCATATGGTACAATCTCGCTTGCTAAGACTTAGTCTTCCAATATGGATTGAAGCTCAATATCATTGGCAGCACCATTCAGATTGAGAAGAGATAGAAACTATTAACAATTTCTGCTTATTTGATACCATAATCAACACTCTTGGCATCAGCAGCCAGGAAATCAAAAGGAGAATTGTATTAGAAAATTCTGCTGTCAGAAACCTCTCCAGAGTCTGACAAGCAGCAAAAATGCCAATCTAGCAAGTAAGGTGTGCTTGATCCAGGCTATGGTCTTTGCAACTTTTTGCCATGCATCAGAGAGGTGTGCAATGACTAAACATAACAAAAGAACTGATGCCTTTGAGTTGTGGTGCTGAAGAAGAGTATTTAACAAAGGATGGACTGTCAAGAGGACAAACATACATGTCCTGGAGAGAGTGAAATGAAGTTGCTCTTTGAAGGCTAGAATTTTGATGCATCGGTTTTTACATACTTTGGGCATGCTGCCAGGACGGACCAGTCCTTAGAGGACATCACACTTGGTAGGGTGGAAGGATAAGGGAAGAGAGGAAGATCCTGGATGAGATGGATTGACACAGACACTAGGGTAATGGGATTAGGCATGTCAGAGTCAGTGAGATTGGCTCAGGATAGGGCAAGGTTCAGAGCTTTTGGGCAGAGGGTCATTATGAGTTGAAATCGACTTGTTGGCACATAACAACTGTATGTATCCACCACCATGATGAGAGAATCTTTATTATTTATTCATCATGACACATTGTGGAGTTGCTTAGGAATACAATCATCAATTTATATCTTGTTTTTATGGTGTCTTAGTAGAAATCTTATTTTAAAACTTAAGACATTTAAAAATTTGGGGCTTTCTAAAATCCTTGATAAAATCCTAGCAACTGTATTTTATTAATACAGAATGGATTGTTTTACTTCATAAATAATCTATATATTTTTAATATACCTATATCAGATCATCTGATGAATAATACCACAGAAATAAACAATATATTTACATGTATACAGATCTCTTATTATCTCTATGAGTTTGACTTCAGATAAAACCCAATAATAACCAATAAAAAACCCCCATACTTTTATCTAAAAAAATTTATCTCAGACTAGGGTTATTACTTTTAATTCTTCATGTTTTTCCTCTATTGTCATATTGAAAAGTAAATATGTAATTGCTCAAATAGAATATAAAGTAATAAACATTAACCTATACAACAAGAGATTATAGCAATTTCACTTTAAAAACTGGACTGTGAAGATAATCCCTTATTAGCCAATTTTCAGATGGATCTTGGCTAAAAGAAGAGAGTAACAGAGACCATAGGAATGTCTATCTGTGTTTCAGTGACTATGCAAAGGCATATGACTGTGTGAAACACAATAAATTGTGGCTAACCTTGAGAAGAATGTGTATCACAGAACACTTAATCGTGCTCAACAAAATATATTTTGTTGTAATCTAAATGTGCTCAACTTGGACCAGGAAGCAGCTGGCAGAACAAAGCAAGAAAACATGGCATCTTTCAAAACTAAGAAAGGAGTGCATCAGGAATGTGTCTTTCCTCCATACCTTTTTAATCTATCCTTGGAACAGATCATTTGGGAGGCTGGGCTTTATGAGGAGGAATGTGGTGTCAGGATTGGAAGAAGGTCTCATCAATAACCTGTATTGGGCAGATGGCACAATATTGTTTCCTTACAAAAAGAAAGAACTGAAGCATTTGTTGCTGAAGGTTTAGGACTATAGTCTTCAATATGGATTAAAGGTCAACATGAAGAAAACAAAGATTCTCATCAATGGGCCAATCGGCAGCACAATAGACGGAGAAGAGATTAAGGTTGTTAATAATTACAGCTTACTCAGCTTCACAATCAACACTTTTTGGCAGTCAGGAAGGAAATCAAAAGACAAACTGCAGTGGGAAAAATCTACTGTCAAGGACCTCTCCCCAGAGTGATGAAAAACAATGAGGTCAATCTAGAGACTAACATGTGCCTGATCCAGGTATGGTCTTTGAAATTTTTTGCTAAGCATCAAAGAGCTAGAAAAGAACGAAGGATGATAGAAGACGTGATGTCTTTGAGTTGTGGTACAGAAGAGTACTGAACATACTATGGGCTGCCAAGAGAACTAACAGGTCTTTCCTGGAGAGGGTGACACCAGGTTACTTCTTCGAGGCAAAAATGTTGAAGTTTCATTCAACATATTTTGGCATACTTCTAGGAGGCACTAGTTATTGGAGAAAGACATCATGCTTAGAAGGGTGGAGGGACAGCACAGGAGAGGAAGACCTAAAATGAAATGGATTGACACAGTAACTGGCGTAATGGGGGTAGGTGTGTAGGAGACAATGAGATTGGCTCTGGACAAGTTAGGGTTCAGAGCTATTATGCATAGAGTCGCTATGAGTCATAGTCAACCCTATGGCACATAATAAAACTACTATATAAATGTTCATTCAACTTTCATAATTAATTTATATCTTCAAAATTTTTAAAATGAAAATTAAATAAGGTATCAAATATTATAGGATAGAATTAAATTTTTCTATAAATAAAATAATTTCATTTGATTAATAAAATACGAATTTTTGATATATTAATTCTGTATTTATGATAATTGATTTCTAAGGAAAAGAAAGGACCAATCCTTAGGGAATTTCTTAAAAATAAAAATTGGAGATATTTATTTTTCTTCTTAACCATTTCCATTACTTGATTTTGAAAGTTAAGTGAACTTTGAATTTAAGTCATCTCATGGTCCTGTCAATCCCTTTATGTTTGAATTTAGTACAGAAGGAAGGTGTCAAAAGAAATGAAACCCTACCAAGTATCTAGGGAATGTAAATATTTCTCTTTCTCTGCCCCAAGGATTTGTTTGCCCACATTTTGACAGTCCATGAAATCTCTGACACTGAGACCTGTCAAATATTAACAACTTTGCCTCTGCCAAACCATCTCATCATTTAGACTTTTATACTTTATAAACAAAATAAAAATAAAATCAATACCTAAAAAACAAAGTTTCATGTTATCAATAAATTCAAAACACTGAATCATTTAGCTGACTTAAAATCTCCTCCTATTCAGTAAACAAAGAAATTTGTAGAAAAATGTACCTAAAATAAACCTTTCCGGTCATATATGAACAGTGTATCTACCTAAAAATTAACAGTGTATTACAAAAAAGAGACATTAAAACTTAATTTAGAAAATTCTAAAATTAAAAACAAAGATGCTGATTAATATAACAATTTCTAGGTTTTTTTTAAAAACTAACTTGATTTTGGTTAGTTTCTATGGTTGTGCATGTTTATAGTATTAATTACTTCTAAATAGTTTGCTAGTTCCTTCTTCTAAATGCAATATAAACTTTCCCTCAACAACTATTTTTTGAAAGTGCCCTTTAAGAATTTACATTTGTATTTCCAAACTCTTTCAGAGGAGAGCTTTTGGTAAAGTTTCTCCCAATGTATCTTTCTTTCTAGTATTACATTCTCTGTTATGAGAAAGTAAACCTATTTAAGTAATATAATACCTCACTTACTCTTATTTTTTAACTCTCTCATGTTCTTCCTTGGAAAATTTTCTGAATAGTGAGCTATATATATCAACATCTTCTCCAGTTTTCTAGATAGGAAAACTGGAAAAGTAGAGGCTTAGTGAATGAACAAAAGGCCCTCGAAAAGATGGGCTGACAGAACAGTGGAAGTACAACAGAGATTGTGAAGGGCACAGGACTGCACAGGCATTTGATCGTTATTCATAAGAACACTATGAAGTGGAGGTGATTTTATGGCATATAACAATAACAGTTAAAACAAAGGCCTTCTCTTCATATTTTAAGTTTAAATTCCAGGTACAATTCAGGTATTACAGTCCTCTGTTCCCTTCCTCCCCTTTTTAAAAACACATTAGTCACATTTATAGATCAAACTGTGTTTAGGTATAAAAACAGCAATATCATAAAATTCAATCTAGTTGGTGCAAATATTTGCTTGCTTCTCTCAAAATATAACACATGCTTTATGTTTCACCATGTTTTTATGGAAACATACATTTATAAGTATTATTTCTTTTAGGAATTTTCTGTGATAATTCCATTTCAATTACATACCAAAATATAATTAACACTAAGCAATATTGGTAATAAAGCCTAGATTTCTACTGCAATTAAAATTCAATTAAACCTATCAGCATTAGATCACTTAAACAAATTTCAGAAGATTACAAAGAAAAGGAAAAATTAGTTTCAAAGAAAGAAAAAAGAACACAACTGAAAAGGAACATTTCAGTCATGTGACTTCTTCCACCACAGCTGTGTGAACATAGTATCATTATAAATAGGCAAATCTTTGTAGGTTTCTATTGTATTCACCTAATTTAAATTGAAATAGTGAAAATGATTTTTCAAAATAAAATTAGTAGAAACAATAATTTGACGTTTTCTTTTAACGGATAAGAAATAAAGTAGACATGTATTAAAATTCTCCTAAAATTACTTTATAATGAGCCATTATGTAAATGTTTTAATAATAATATATATTAGTGTATAAAAGAATGTTTTTGTTTGTTTAGCTAATGCAACACTTACATCTTGATTTGACATGTCCCAATAAGGTCGCTCTCCATAAGACATAACTTCCCACATGACTATCCCATAACTCCATACATCACTGGCTGATGTGAATTTCCGGTACTGGATGGCTTCTGGTGCTGTCCATCTTACTGGAATTTTCCCACCCTGTTATAAAAAGAATTGAAATTTTAAAAATAAACTTACACTGTTTATAGTAATATTAGAAAATGACATTTTAAAACTGGCAACTCACCTTGACTCTCTCCTAAGAATATTTAAAGTTACTAGTATGTATTTTGGGTTTGTCTGTAAATCTACCAGAAGTTTTAAACTTCAAGGAATTCAGTTTACTACTGTTCTTTCCGTACAGGGTAATGATTCAGTCAAAAGACAAATTAAGTAACTACTGGCAAATCTTAATGATAGATAGGGTAGTAAATAAACTATCAGTTATATTCCTTTTCTTAATTTAACAAAAGTTATGACAGTTATAAGTACAATTATATTCTTCTTTAATCTTAACATTGGTTATATTTTTCTGCTGTAATTACACTCAAAACTTAAACAAATGTATTGGACATGTTGTTAGGAGAGACTATTCCTTGGAAATTGACATTATGCTTAGAAAGGTGGAGATTCAGGAAAAGAGAGGAAGACCCTTAATGAGATACATTGATACATGGACTGCAGCAATGGGCTCAAGTGTGTTAGGGATGATAAGGATACAGGATAGGATAGAGTTCAGATCTGTGATTTATAGGGTCACTATATGAATTAACAATAATTAACTATTCCTTATGATTGATGATATGGAGTCCTACTATAGTTTTTCCATTTCAGGGCTAAGCATTGTGAAGTTTCAGCTCCACATCAGTGTAGGTGGTGGAAATATCACTAGATGGTAATGTTCGCAAGGTGAAGATAAGAGGTAGTAGTTTCTTCTTAACCATTTCCACTGTTAGAGCAATTGATTTCACTCCATCTTAACATCATATATACATCAGAGTAGAACTGTGCTCCACAGGATTTAGGTAGCTCCAGTAGCCTAACGATAAGAAGTTGTGCTATGTAGTAATCCATCATGTAAACGTATCATGATTTCTGAATCCATTCAATTTTGTTTGGACTTTCAGGCTGTTCCATGTTCTTGCAATAGTGAATAATGCAGCTGTGAACATTGGTGTAGAAATGTCCATTTGTGTTTCAGTTCTTATTTCCTCAGGACTCAAGAGCAACAATTTTTAAAAATTATTACATAACTTGGGAGTGACTGGAAAGCTATGGAAGTGACTGGAAAGTATAACTGGAAAGTTATGCAGAGTGAACAAACTCAGTCTCATATGGACAAACACTGCATAAGACCATTGCTGTAAAAATTGAAGGATAACCAGTAAAATGTGTATGGGAATCGAAGAAGGGAAGGGGTGCGAGTAGACAGGTGAGGATGGGCAGGGAGGAAATCATAAGGTTGAACAATCTGGTGGCTGGAGGGAAGGAAAGTAAAGGAAATTGGAAAGATCCAGCAGAAACCTGAAAAGTTGGGGTAAGAGTGGACGTAGTTCTATGGGGATTGAGTTTCTAAAACAAAACATGTGTGAAAGATTGTATGAAACACAATGTGAATCGAGTAAAGTTTGAAACCTCCCCCCAACAAAACCCCAAAAAACAACCCCAAAACCTCATTGCTATATAGTCAACTCTGACTCATAGCAAACCTCCCATCAGGTTTAAGAAACTGTAAATCTTAATGTAAATCTGGTCATCAGTCTACCATGAATATGTGAATCAACACAGACTCGAGCCTTTATGGTTAGCTGCACAACAACCTACAGATAACGTGACCTCCTTGTTATAATTACTAGTGGTATACTATTCAAGAACTAAGTTCAAAGTTATCAGCTAAGTTTTAATGCAAAGTATTAAAACAGAATGGAATAGCCAAAATAACAAAACAAATCCTCAAACCAAATAGATTTATCTTATATTATACTATTTCTAGGAAAATCTCTGTTTAAATGACAATCATACTAACAATGTAACACTACTTCTCTACAACTTTACATGCTGTCGTTGTTGCTGTTAAAAATAACAATTATTCTCCCAGTAATTGGGACAAATGACAGGAGTTGACACAAAGCTGAAGTCAATTTGCCATCTTACTTTTGTTTAGATGTGCATTAGCAAGAACTGCTTTCTGGATGGAAAATCTCAGGAAAAAGAAAAGTAAAACTAATAGACTTTTCTTACAGTTGTTGTGTAGACAGCTTCTGGATCATCTTCTATAACCCTGGACAGGCCAAAATCTGACACTTTACAAACAAGATTGCTGTTGACAAGAATATTGCGAGCTGCAAGGTCCCTGTGAACATAGCCCATATCGGCCAAATATCTCATTCCAGCAGCAATTCCTCTCAGCATTCCTACTAACTGAATAACTGTAAATTGTCCATCGTGTTTCTGCAGGAAAAAAAAAATAAAAATTTTGGTCATTGTATTTGAAAACAAACAAAACCACTATGGGGAAAAGCCTGAATACACAATAATCATTATTGCAAAACAAGAATTAAGTTTTTATCGATGCTTCTGAGAGGATTTAACAGTAGTTGATTTAGCTGATACCACAATAATATATGTCATTTTATTGATCACTCAACCTCTGTTATCATTCAAAAAGGGAGCTCTGGTGTTCTAGCGGTAAGAAGCTGTGTTGCAATCTCAAAGCCACATAGTTCAAGTTCACCAGAATTTCTTCACAGAAGAAAGATGGGCAATCTCCTTCTGACTAAAAACTCACTGTTGGGTCAGCTATGGGTCAGCTTCAACTTAAGGGTACTCAACAACAATCACTCAATTACTTGTAATAATATATTATCAATAGTAACAATTTGAGGATTATCCATTCCTAAAAGTATGTAAATTTTTAAGTCAAATTATGGAAATGAACCATCTAAAAATAATCCTCACAGTTAACTGTTTTCCCTTCCTATCAAAAAATTGTGTAAGTAATCTAAAGAGTATATACAAAGGAATGACAGGCATGTATGGAGACTTTATTTCCCCTTTTGTGAACAACAAAAATAAAGGGGTAAAAATGGAGGATACTATAGGGAAATAATTTAAAAATTATTACAGTGACTATTTTTGTTTTCAGTTTTCTTCCTTTTGTCTGCTTCACTAATGGTGGAAACACCACTTTCCACAAAGATTTTCTAAAATAAAATAGAAAATGGGATTGGGGAACTGTTTGCAACCCACTGTCTAGCATACATTTCTCATCAGGTACTATGGCTAACCTACAGGTTTTTCTAAGTGAATTGTAAGTTACTCAGAGTACCTGACTTTAAGTTTATGAACTTGTAAGGGAATGCTTCCTTCCAGTGTTGACAGCTGATATGCTTTTTTTATTACTCTTCTTCTCTTTATTGGCATGTATTCGTATACTTATGTGGAAGGTCTATAAGAGCAATTCTCTTTCTCTTTGTCAACGCTATTGAGAAAGATCCAGAAAATGAGCCTCCTTTGGAATTTCTAAGATTGTAAAATGAACATGAGGAGAATGCCCATCTTTCTCCCACAATGCAGTTGGTAGATTTGAACCGCTTGCCTATAGGTTGGCAGTGTAACTCCTTAGCCTCTTGGCCATCAGAACTTCCTGAAAGTAAAGATATGTATATCTATATACTTATTTAGACATAAGAATATGATATAGTCTGTAGAGCAAGGTTGAGCTCATGGAATCAATGCTGAATGGTTTCTTTACTTTTTCATTGTTCTCTAAAATTACCTCCGAATTTAAGATTGTTAATTTCCAATTTTCCTATACTGATATGAAAATAGAATGCTATTCTGAAATAAATTTAAACTCACTATTCTAGAGTCAATGCTAACCTAGATGAAATCAGTAGTACAGTTATGTGCTATTGTGTTGGAACTGACCCATAGCTGAGCCTCCAGCAGGTTTTCAGAGGCTGTAACATTCATAGGAGGAGAGTGCCCCACTTTCTCTCATAGAGGAGCAGGAAGAAACTTAATTGCTGACCTTTGTCAGCACAATTCCTTCCTCACTAGGTTATCAGAGCTCCACAGGACAGAGTGGAGATCACCAGCAAGCTTTCCAAAGTTGTAATCTTTTTGGAAGTAGACTGTCCCCCTCCCTCCTATGGAGCATCTGGTAGGTTTGAACCACTGACTTTTTGTTAGCAGTGGAGCACTTCAGCATTGTTTGACCAATTATCTTACTCTATTCAAATACATGTGTTTAAATTCTTGATTTCCCATTATATTTTGAATTCAGTTTCATATTTTGATACTAATTGTTGTTGATTGCCATCGAGACGAGCATGACTCATTCATAGCAACCCTATGAACAAAAGTCTTGAAGCCTTTCTATGTGTAATGTCATTAATCAAAGATCATAGAGTTTACAGCGATATATTGTTTAGGAAGTGGATGCTACTCCTGCTTACAAAATTATACTAATTGAAACTTTTAAACCAACCAACCAGCCAAAAACATACCACCCTGTATTGTATCACTTAAGTACTAGCGAAGATTCTGGTTTAATCCTAGGTTGAACTCCGAATTTTATTTTGATTTGTGATGGACAACTTTCTGACTGGTTAAAGTATATAATGTTCATATATTACATTGCAGAAAAAATATATAGAACTGTTTTTATATCATGTATAATAGATTTATAGTGGTAGGAAAATTTGGTACTTACCCTGAGAAATGCATCAAGGGCTCCATTTTCCATGAATTCTATTACAATCATAACTGGTTTTCCTTTAAAATAATAAAAGTTACTTTAGAAGAAGTCACCTGAACTTCAGCATTATTCTCTCTCATCCATATGAAATAGATTAAGAATGTTGTTTTGAAAGACAAAATGTCTCTAGTTTTGCTGCTAAACACAAAAAAATCATTAAATGTCTACATGGAACATAGGTATGATAAAAAATTTAAACCATACAAATAGAGCCAGTGTGTTCTGGATATATAACTATATATATATAAAACCAATGAGCTGACTTGAAGTAACAACCAATCAACCCATTGTCATGGAGTCTGTTTTGACACACATCAATCCTAATGGTTAGAGTAGAAATGCCTACAAGGCTTCCAAGGCTGTCAATCTTTACTGCAGTAGACTGACACATAATTCTCTCATACAGTGCCTGGTAGGTGAGAAAGCATTAACATTTTCAGTGAGCAGAAGAGTACTACACTAAGGCTCATTTCAACTTCACATAAAAAAATATTCAGGGAATATCATGCTATATGTTCCAACAATTACACTATCACTTCGGTGGCTTTGAAACCAAATCAAAGTACCTATCAATCTCTAAAACTGCTTATCAGATTTATTCTATAACTCCTAATCCTGAATACATTTTTTACACAATTCTAAAGTGATAGCATAAAATGGAATTGTCTTAATTAATTAAATACCAATATAAAATTATGAACATTCATTATGGTAATACTTTGGGATTTTATATTTACATTTTACACATAATGGCACTAATGTCTGCCCCTCAATTTTTCTGATAAAGAAAAAGAGATAGCAAGGCATACCTCTTGTGACAACCCCTTCTAAATGGACAACATTTGGGTGGTCAAATTGTCCCATGATGCTCGCTTCACATAAGAAGTCTCTTCTCTGTTTTTCTGTGTAACCAACTTTGAGGGTTTTTATTGCAACTGCAACATCTCTTTTCCCAGGAAGCTTCAGGCGGCCACTGCAGACTTCTCCAAATTCTCCTGAAGCAACAGAACAAATGGTATGTTTTAATTTCAAAAGCTTGTTTTCTAGCAAAATAAATGCATTTTTAAACATATCTAAATATTCTCCTAAGTATTATGGAAAGCTTTCTAACCTAAGCTGAAAAAATTACTAATAACAAGCCATTCGATTTTCCAGATAAAAAAAATTATGAAAATAAAAATGAAATTTGATATTTATTTTCTACTCAGCTATACTGAACAATTTTTCCCCTATTTTTTTTTCTTTTTGAGATTTTAAGGGAAATTTACAAAGAACTTTGATTTCAATTAATTCATTGTTGTACATTTTCCTCCCTGCTCTCTCTCCCCACCAGTTCATTTTTGTCTTTGGGAAAAAAAGTTCTTGCCTTATACAGTAATGTCCCCATATTCTTGTCTCCCCCCATCCCCACCACACTTTACTATGTAGCTCTTATTCTGGACTCTTGTCATGCCAATAATTCCTAATCATATATTCCTTTTATATAGTTCTCTCATCTGTTTCAAAGCCGTGTACATTATTTATCTCCTCTTTTCTTAGTTTCCCCCCAATCCCCATGTCACTCCTGTTCTATAACAGTGGCATTATGCAGTATTTGTCTCTTTGTGCCTGAGATATTTTTTAATGTATATTAAAATATCAGAACAAACATTTACATTTGAAATTTGCTATCTACCATATGTAACAAATTTCATATTTAAAAAAATATCAAACATTTACAACTGAAATTTGCTATATAATGTAGAGGGATCTGCTTAGGTGGAAGGAACTGCGCTGTCAGCCCAAAGCAGTTAGAATGTGCCAGCTGCTCTGCTAAAAAAAAACGACAATCAACTGCCATGTGATTTACTGCTTCTGAAAATCCAATAAAGGGTCAACCATGAGTCAGTCCTGACTCAGTGGCACACCACCACCACATAGAATATATACTGCCTTTTATAGTATAAGCAGACATATAAATCATAGAAATTCTGAATAGTTAGCTTCACCCTCTCCTTTTTGTGTTTCAGGAAGCAAATATGAGTAGTCCCTTCGTTAAGAATTGGGACAGCTTGCACTTTCCCTTTAATCCTACGTAAATTTGTTCTCAATGTTTCAATTTTGAAATAATATAACCAGCCCCTACATACAACAAATTCTTCATTACAATCATTTATACTTGTTGGACATGGAGCTTTTAAGCCTTTGAAAAGCTTTGATGTTTTCCTTGTAATAAAGTAAGCCTAAATAACAACTATATGCACCTGTTCTGACTTACCTAGAAATTCAACTTAAAAACTTAAAGACATACTTAGGAATGGCTCTTGTTCGTAACCTGCTGACTGCTTATGTTTCGTAAAAACGTGAAAGTCTGGAATTCTTATGCACACTGTGTGCTAAATTTAGGGGAATAAATCCAAAATTGCATAATTATCCTGAAAACATATACAAGTATAATACCTCCTTAAAATGTTCTATAAATATTAACTTTCTGCATAAAATTAGATAGTACAATTGCTAATTCATAACTACAAATGCAAAAATATAAAAAAAATTAAAAGCTGGGCAAAAGGATGGCATGTCAGGTAAGAGAAAATGCATATTTCAGTAAAATTCTGAGGCATTTGGATTTTTTTAAAAATACCAAATCATCTGTTGCACAGGAGAGAATTATTTGAAATAGCTTATAATGAAACTGTATCTTTAAATTAGAAAAACAAAATACATAGGGATTATCTGTGCCACATGCTCCTTTTTTCATTCTTAAGATTTCATAAACAAGTACAGCCTCATTGCTTCCAACAGCTCAGGTAAATGCAAAAGTTCTATACTTGAGGTATAATTATTTGCTTGTCATTATGATGTATGAGTTTCGATCTTGGCTAAATGGAACAGCTGAACAAGGAAGCTACAACAGCCTTACCTGCACCAATCACACGCTCAATTTTAATACAGGAGGCATCTAGCTCCTTGGCGAATTGATGGACAGCTCTATTTGGGTCCTCATAGGTTTCAGGGTCAATGTAGGTTTTGGTGCCTGGAAATTTAACTGTAATGATGTAAGAAAGCATGACTGTGATGAAGCAAAGCACTTATTGTGCAGTCAGCCCAGGAATTTCATTATGCAGAGTGCTCCTTGGAACAGTGAACTTGCTTCCACATCACCTGAATCACAGCAGTTTTAACAGACTACTTCAGTGTGCTGGCGCATAGGTATTATCTGCAAGCTTCTATAGGTAACATAGGATCCAGTTTATAGGTTACTAACTGAACTGCTTTTCCAGTAAATCAAGAAAAAGACATCCACCAAAATCCTCTGACATGGCTCTTATCAAACTGGAGGTTTAATTAAATTCACTGCTATCATGGCATAGTTCAAGCCATAGTGAGGTTTGTAATGGACTTGGAAATACATTTGTAAATCTATCAGTCAGTCAATCAATCAAATTAATACACTGGAAAAGAAGACATTTCATTTACAGGTAGTCTACTACACTGACAGCAATATTAAAAACATTTAGACATCTTATTTATTCTTTTGATTTATTTTTAAAAGACCAACCACCGTTGACATATACATAAAATTAATACAAGATGTGAGGCATTGCTATCACAGAATCAAAGAGAAATTGACCAAAGACAGTTTCATCTTTACCTTGAAGGGCAACAGAGGCCAGATATACAGGGTGCAGAGTAAAGTTAGAAAATTCACAATATTCCTGGGATCTGCTTGCCAAGTATGACATCAGTTTAAAAGAGGAATGACTTATATAAACTTTACATTATAAAGTTCTGGAAGATCTTAACTGCCACAAAGAGGTAGCCAATATGCCTCACAAAAGGTAGTCAAAATTCGTACAACATAGATTCATCATAAAAGTTAAAATTTTCATAAAAAGCACCCAGAAGCATGCAGGTAACATATAATGTTATGTCAACTTAAATTACAATAATGTATTCCAAATGTAATCATTTGGTAAAAGACAAAGATAGATAGGCATATATTTGGTTATATTAATGCAATGAAAAAGTTACACTATATCCTTAAAAAAAACTTTATTGGTTTTAACAAAGCCACCAAACAATCTTTGCATCAAATCTTACTATTTGGAGAACAATATATTTCTTTTACACTGCAGCCTAACTGTGCTTATGTCATCACATCAAGTTAAAATTATAATTTTTTTTAAAAAATAAACACATAACAAACAAAAAGAAGCAGAATGTATAAAGGAAAATGGGACTTAAAAAATCTTGATTTATTCTGTTGTAGATGTTTGTTTATCCAAAATTGATTGTCTTAAACAATTATTGTTACAGTTTATAAAACTGACAGATGCTCGTTTGTTACTAAAGCTGAACATGAAAACAAAACAACACAAGAAGAAAAGAGAGAAGGGATAGGAAGAGAAAAGAGAGAAGAAGGAGCACAGGGAAGAGGGGGGAAAGAGAAAGAGAAGGGAAGAAAACAATAGGTTAACCTCCTAGATTGGCAGGCAGATGGAGAATGAGCCATCTTCTCCCCTTCATTCTCTCTCTCTTTTTTTCTTTCTTTTTTTTTTCTTTGTTTGTTTGGTTTTGTGATCAGGGAGCTAGATTGGAGGTTACCTTCTGCATTTCAAAAGGGTCGCTGATCGTTCTTTATTCAAGCTGTCATAAAGCATTTTGACAGGCCAGAGCTATTTTGGCATAAAAACATGAGATACTGCCCAGTTTGGATTCGAAAGACATTGTTAGAAGAAATGGTAGGAGGAAACAAAATGTAAATTGGAATTGCTCCACTAAACTCCTCCACTGTGTTTATATCTTTAAATATACCACTTGGGGCCATAGAGAGTTGAGGGGGCTGACACAAATGACTGGACATTCTATTAAATTTGGCGCTCTAAAAGCTAGTTAAATGGTTGCTTTAAAGTTCCTGTAAAAATTCAATCTGGTGTCTTAGTACCTAGCAAAATTGTCTGTATACTTAAAGGAATAAAAGGACACCAATTTTTAAATAGCTGGTGACCACAGTTTTCTACACTCTGTATACATCATAAAATCAAGTGAAATGACAGATTCCATTAAATAATTAGAAAATATATCCTTTTAAGAAAGATGATTCAAAATTATTCACCATTTATCAATATATATTAGTAAGACTTTTAAAATATTGGTTTAAAATACAAATAATATATATTGGCACAATGTCTGAGAACTTTAGTCTGTTGCTTAGCCCGAGAGTCACTTTTTTTTAGTTTTGCTATTTCATTTACATTGTTCATAAAAGTATCGTACACCACCATCAATATTTTTCTCCATAGATAAAAAATGTTTATATAGAACAAGAGTATTGTATTTATGCTAACAAACAACACACACAGCTACAATTTTTCTGATTACAAATTGATGTCAACTGTGAAAAAGCTGATATCATCAGAATGGTAAAGCTGAGTGAAGACAAGTAAGTATAAGGCAATACAACAAGTTTTGGATAAGGTAAATTTAAATTTACCTTCTGCATTAACGTGCAAGTTAAAAGCAAATAAAATGTATTTGATAATTTGGGGATGCTGTTGATATACTCAATGGAAGGAAAGTGACATAATGATTAAGATAACATTAAATAGACTGGTATAAAATTAATGTGTGGGTAGGATCAGAGATTCTAGAAACTAGGTATAGTATAATGTTACTCTTTTATATATTTTATTCTAAATATAAAAACTAAAGTACATTCAAATTTTGATCTGTTCTTTGTTGTCTAGGGAAGTGTTAAAAATATTCTCTCAGAAACAGAAAAATAAGTAACCTCTACTTTTTCTGTGCAACCCTTAGCTATGAACTGCCCATGGCATTCTCATCACAGAGGATTAATCACTGAGGAAAACCACTGGATAAATTAGCAAAAGGAAGTTCTGGCATTAGGAGCATATTAGATAACCCCAGGGGGTGGCAGGATCACAAATCCAGAGGTAGATGAAAAGTGTTGTGAAGCCTGAACATCACTAATTTTGAAAACCATTCTTAAGAAAAATAACACATACAATTATGCATATAAAATTCCTAGAGGACCTCCCAAGGTCTTGGAATGAACTCACACAAGATATGGGTCTGGGGGTTTAAATTTCATTAACTACTGGATTACAAAATCTACCTCTGATTTTGTCTTCTTTACTTTGTTGTCTCATGTCCTTCCTTTCGTCGGTGGTTAGATTTCTATAGATATTTATATTCAATTTGCATATACTGTTGTTGTTAAGTACTGTTTAGTTGAGTACAACCCTGGGAACAACTAACTGAACCCTGTCCTATCCTGTGCTATCTCTAACATAGTAGAGCCCATTGCTACAGTCACTGTATCTATCCATCTTTGAAAGTCTGCCTCTTAAATACTATATAAAACTATTTATCTTTTTAAAATCAAATGCAAGATAATGGCTAAAGAGATTTAAATAGTATAATAATAATAATAATAACAACAACAATAACAGCAACAGCCACATTCTCAATCTTTGTATTCAAACTACTTTATTTGTGTTGTTTTACATGTATAGGAAATGCTAATATTCAAACCAATAAAATTCAAAAGCTTCGTTAATGTTTAGGCATTTTTCTGATTTTAGGATGCTTAAATGATAAATTAGGATCTCTGGTGGCCTCATAGTAAGAAACTGTGCTGCAATACCAAAGATACATGGTTCTAATTCACCGGGTACTCTGTGAGAGACAGATGGGCAGTCTCTTCCCAAGTGTTTTACTGCTTCTGAAAACCCACGGGAGGGTCAGCCCTGTGTCACTACTGACTTGATGGTACTCAACGGTAAGAATAAATGACAAACAGGGGGTAGCATAATCGATAGGGAACTGCATTGCTAGTCCAAAGGTGGAGTTTCTCTGATGGTAAGAATACATCAGCGGCTCCAAAGGAGAAAAACAGACAATCTCCTATTATGTGATTTTCTGCCACCAAGAGCTGGCTACAGGGTCAGTTACAACTTGTTCCAACTTAATGGAAATTGTGAGTGATTGGGTAATTGAAATGGCAAATATCTTCTTAGATGTCGTCAGTGGAATGTGACATAGAAGATGGTGAAATGTATAATTTTGTAGCACTAGGAGTGCTGCTGATACAATGGTTGAACATTTAGTAGCAAACACTAAGGCTCGTGGGTTGAACCTACTGTCTACCTATGAGAAAGATGTGGTAGGCGACTTATGTGAATATTTACAGCCTTGGAATTGGGAATCCTCTGAGGCACTAATACTTTCTCAAACAGCATTGCTATGACTATAAAAGGAACTCAACAACAGTATTTTTGTTGGTTTTTAAAATAGAACATTTACCAGTGCATGAGAAAAATTAGAAAGGTTATTTCTACTATGAAAGATATCATAAAAATTATTCCTGGTAATTTCAGGTATAAAACAAAAGAGTTTGGCTGAGAATATCAGCAATACACAAATCAACTGTTAATTCAATTTTATTTCACCTTCATCTAGTAAAAGTGACATTTACTTTCATGATTCTATATTTATTTGCCATCTACCTTGCAACAAGAATAAGATTAATGCAGACAGGTAAGTTTGTTTTTTTTTATGATCACAAAGCTCTGGCTTAGATAATGGTTTCTAAATTGAACATTTAATAATCAGGTGACAGAAGTGCACAGCAACATTTGAGGACTAGATTTCATCATTATACTATTTATATCCCATGAAATAACAATTTGTAATATTCAACTGATAATAACTGAAGAAAAAGAAGGTCCTTAGCGCAGTCTTTCACGGGAGCTTCCTGACACAAAGGACTTAGCCTTCTAACTTAGCTAGAACATGGGCACATGCAACATTTAATGGATTATAATTAGAATGATATGAAACACTTGGGTAAGGTTTGCAAAAGGAAAAAATTGTGACAAAACCACCTGGATATTCTGCAGTAATATTAAAATGTGAGACATTGCATTACTGGATTTTGGTTTTAATTCACATCACATGGTTTTCATTCTAAATATCTAATTTCTAGAATAATGTATTTTAATGCCAGTAATAACAATCAACTTTCTGTAGCAACTGGGGTACATAATAATAAAGAAAACTAAACACTTACAATGAAAGTAGAGTTCTTCATCCCCTTCCTGGTCGGCTTTGCTATAACCACAATGCCTAAAGGGGGAAAAACAAGTGTAATAATTTCACAAATGATTTTGCTCTTAATATTTAAAACATGTATTATTTAATAACCAAGTTGGAGCAATCAACAAAGCACAAAAATTTCTTGTCTGTATTTCATGACTTACCTAATAATCACATAAAAAGTCACATTGTAGAAAAATAGAAAATATTTATACATTATATTAAAATATAAAATATATGAAAAATATCCTTTTCATAGGACAACACAATAGAAACTTTTTTTTGTGGCATTAGCTTTATAAATGAACAAAAATATGTGTTTACAAAATGATGTTTTCAATTATTGTTACCAAATTTAATTTCAACATCTTTTCTGAAGTAACTTCTATAGTTACTATGAAAAAGATCTAAACCTGAATAAAACAGATAAGAACTCATAGAAGAGAAATTAAAATACACACCCCTTTTAAACTAAACTCAGTAAGTCAAAACTATACTTTAATCTTGTGAGAATGACAATGTATTGACTGGTAATATTCAATATCGTAAATAGTCCTAATGGTAAGGTAGTACACTGTCAACTCAAATGCATGTGGTTCAAATCTGTCAGGTGCTCTGCTGGAGAAAGATGGACAAGCAACTCCCATGAGATGTATTGCCTCTGAAAATATGCTAGAAGATTAGCAATGAATTGATTTTGATTCAATACCGGACAACAATATTTAATAGCAGAAAAAGAGTGTTTATAATTATAAATTAAAAATACAAAATAATTAATGACAGCAAAAAATATTAATGAATTTTATGTCAAAAATGACAAAAAGTTTATATTATACCTTCTTCCAATTATGAAGCCAAACACCATGAACACCAAAATGATGGTCCCAGCTACAGCCACAACAGCAATTATAATAACAGGATTCTGTTCACTGGAGACAGCTGTAGCTATAAACAGAAGACAGATTCATGATACTTTCAACACCTTTCAAATACTTGAGAAGTAAATGCAGTATCATAAACAAGATCAATGTAGCTATTTCAGTAACATTTAGTTTCAAAATTTCATTATACTAAAGTTGTATGAATATAAAAACAAAAAGCCCAAATCCACCAAATCCACTACCACCAAGTTGCTTCCTACTCACAAAAACCCTATGGAAAATAGTGTAACTGTCCCATAGGATTTGCAAGGTTGTAAATCTCTGAGAGGAGCCACTGGTGAATTTTTGTTAGCAGCCTAATGTGTAGCATAGTATACGTCCAGGACCCTTATGGTAGATTTAAAGAAATATTTATTTTATACAGTTTAAAGAAGTGGTAAAGATAGTATTTTCATTAATTTTCCATTTATCAGCCATACATGTATGTATATATATTTAAGTTATATATACTTTTTTAATTATATTTGGAAACAGTATCTGTTTGCACAGCTTTGAAAGCAGCTTCTGATTCAGATTCTCCATTAAGTCACAGGATCTTGTCACTTCCTCTCTTCTAAATTAGTGAAGCTTTACTTATAAATTAACTGGTAATTAGCACTGTTTCTCTAAAGTATTATAGTCTCTCCACCAGTATAGACATAAAAGAATAATCAAAAGTAGGAAAAAATAATGAAAGAATATATTCAACTGAAAGTATTCTGAATTATACAATGTCAAGCTAATAGTCTGAATACTTCTAAATCAAGAGTGTCATTCTTTCAAGCTGAACGGAAAATGCTGCTCCTTCTTGGTAATACCAAGAGACTAGGTCCCTAGAGTGGTAAATTATACACAGGTAAAGTAAGTGCTGGCACCAATGGCAGCAGAGAGCTTTTCTATCCTGATGAAACATTATTTAATCTTTTTTGTCACTTTTAACACATTATCTCTAAATAAGTATAACTGTGATAATAATTGATCATTCTAATTTTCATATATAAAACTAGTTCTGAAAAAAAATAATTTCTAGTAAAGAGTATTACATATACTCCCAATTTCAGCATCTGTTGATTTACTACTGCGATGACTAGATAAGGATTTAAATAAATAAAAATGAAAAAGAGGTGGGGGGAGATGAAAAAAAACTTTCAAGTTTTAATTTTTTCACTATGTCCTATTACCACTCAATATTAATAAAAGATGAACAGTAATTTGGTTTTGCTTTAACTTATTTTCTTGTTTTTATGAAGCACTTTGTACATATTAATTGACAAAAATAATGGAATAGTTCTGTTCCCGAGGAAGGAAAAAATTATTCACAGATGTGTGGAAAAAATTATTTCCACAATCAGAGTGTCCCATGGGTTTAATTCTTTGCCTGTCTTTGCTCAGTTATTACCCTAGCTTTGGAAACAACAGCAACCTGAACATTGAACTCAGGTGAACGATGAATTATAATTTGTGAATGTGTTTATGTGCTTCTATATATAGTTAGGACCGAGATGGATGGAAAAAGATGTCTTATCATATATTCCTTTTGAGATAATCAGGAATGTATTTTAATTTGTCCACGGTGACTATTTATCTTAGTATTTCCAGATATTTCATAAGCAATGCACTTGTAAAATAATTTGCACATGCAAAATCACCACACTTTGGGTTTGATTTTTTTTTTTAAGTTAGCAGACTTGACTCTGAGTAGATGGAGATTTTAGGATATTTGTACAATTGAACAGTTTAGTTAACTTCCTTTACCAAACAGTTCTCAAGTAACTTCTCTTGGGGCACATCATCTCTCTTGCCCTGCTTCCTAGCACAGTGATTCACTGCTTCTTCACACTCACAAAACACTGTACTAGAGCTTAACTATATAGCCATAACTTATGCACATCTCTCTCTCATTCATCACTTTTTAAACTAAGAACAACAAATGAGTTATGTCTCAGTTCATTCCTAACCTGGAACACAGTGTTTGTTCTATCAGTGGGGCTCCAAGGGTGCTCTGGGAGTACACAGGATATTTCCAAAATCTCTACATAGATAAAGTTATTTTGGTTTGGGGGAAAATCCCTAAAGATGCCATTTGTCTCATTCACTTATAAGCACACAGTAGAGTTTTCTAGAAGCTATATGACATGTGATGGTATCATCACTCTAGTGGCTAGTGACAATTACTGTGTTTGAAAAGAGTCTCAGTTTTAATTTATAAAGTGTTAAAGATAAATAATACTAACAAATATCTTTTGGTTACTCAGTAATTTTTAATATTATAAAATATTTATGAGACCAAAAGTTTGAGAAATGTTGTTAAATAATAAAAGCTGGTATTAATTTATTGACATTTACTAGGTGTTAAGTACTATACTTGGGATTCATCTACATTAATTCAATTAAACCTTAAATTGATGGTATATTCCAGGGAAAGTTGTGTTGATAAATCAAAGATGCTCTCAGACAGTTTGACACCTCTGGAAGTAACTTAGGAAAAAGACGGGCAATCCTCTGCTGAGTGATTTACACCTTGGATCCAATGGAGGGTCAGCATCAGTCAATTTTAACTGGACAACAGAGAGTATGAATGGATCCTTGTAATTAAGACAAAGAGCAGTAGCTTCATTTAAAGTCACATTGCTGGATATGAGGTAATTCCATACTAGGCATGTATTTACCAGAAAACTCTAGTTGTATAGTCCCTAAAGATTGCCCTGATAAACTAAACAACATGCCTTTCTGGTGGTTCAAATCCAACAGTGGCTCCTGTGGAGACAGATGTGTAAAAATCTCTCATTTGGTTTACAGACACAGAAATTCAATGGAGGGTCTGCTGTGAATCAGTTCCAACTTGATGGCAAATAATTTTTATTTTTCTTTTTATTTAACATATATATATACTAGCGCTGCTGATACTGTCTGGTTTGCTTTGGTGACTGAAGAAATTATTGTTTATTAATTGTTTTAATTAATTGCATTGCTATTAATTGTTTATTAATTAAATGTTGTACATGCGGCTCTGGTGGATTAGTGGTAAGGAGTTGTGCTACCAACTGAAAGCTGTTCAAATACACCACCTGTTCTGCAGGAGAAAGAAGGGCAATTTCCTCCTGTGTGATAAAATGCCTCTGAAAACCTGCTATTGAGTCAGCTATGAGTCGGTTCGGCCACAACAGTTTCATAACAAGCAATAGACACGTAACACTTTAGAGTCATGAGAAAATAGCAAGAAAAGAAGTTATGGATCCCTCTTTCCTCACTTTTATGCTACACTGGAGAGACTATTAAGATGACAAAAATCACTACATACGTAAAAAATAATCACTGCATAATTTGTAATTCAAAAGTCCATTTTGTAACACTTATTTTAGCACAGAACTCACTCAAATGTTTAAATGTGAAAGTGTTCTAAAGTGTAAAGTGGTTTGGGGGCCACTGAAATTAGACACTTTGTTTTTGATTGTACATGCTCTATTACAGTATGATAATTATGAATACCATAGTTAAGGACATCAAATTGAATTGCTGTTTTTTCAGTGAATATCTTTTGTGCCTACAATTATACACAAATAATTTCCATTTCAAAATGATTTAACACTTATTTTACTATGACATAATTTTAAATTTAAGAATGTTTAATTGGTATACGTGAAAGAAAGAACTATCTAAAATGAATATATGATTAAGCATTATAAGTATGACAACAGCCCAAATAGATATATTAGTGAAAATAGGACTGGGGTAGGGGAAAGGTAGGAAATTGTGCAACAATAAATTAATATTACAAAAAAATAGTGAGCTGAGGGGAGGATGAGCATGGGGTAAAATATGCAATAGTGAATGAATGAAACTCTAACTTCTCTCTAAATGTTCATTAAAATCACAGTTAAAATAAAATTTTATTTTAAAAATGTTGACAATATTTTAAAAAAAACTATTGTTACTAAAAAACCCCGTTAACTACTATAAATAATATGTGTTAATTTATTTAACTTTAAAAAGAAGTTATTGTTGTTATGAGCCATCGAGTCGTTTGTGACTCATAGCAACCCTATATACAAGAACTCTAAATGCTGTTCTATCCTGTGCCACCCTAGCCATCTCAAACGTACTCATTCCCACCACTCCAGTCACAGAATCAATCCATCTCTTTGAAGGTCTTCCTCTCCTTCTCCACCCCTCCACTCTGCCAACATGATGTCCCTCTCCAAGGACCAGTCCCTCCTTGCAACATGCCCAAAGTATGGCAGATGAAGCTTCAGAATCCTTGACTCCAAGGAGCATGCGGGCTTCATCTTCTCCAGGACAAACCTGTTTGTTCTCCTAGCAGTCCATGGTATATTCAACACTCTTCTCCAGCATCACAGCTTAAAGGCATCAATTCTCTTTCTATTAACCCTATTCATTGTCCAACTCTCTGATGCATAGCACGCAACTGTGAAGACTATAGCCCGGATCAGGCACACCTTAGTCTCCAGCCTGATGTTGTTCTTCAGTGCTCTTGAGAGGTCCCTCGCAGCCAACTTTCCCAATGCATTAGTCTCTTGATTTCCTGGCTGCTGTTACCAAGAGTGTTGACTGTGGAGCCAAGCAAACTAAAACTGTTAAATATCTCAATCTCTTCACCATCCATACTGATGCTGCCAATTGGCCCAGTGGTGAGAATCTTTGTTTTCTTGATGTTGAGCTTCAATCCATAGAGGAGGCTGCAGTCCTTGACCTTCTGCAGCAAGCACTTCAGGTTCTCCTCAGTTTCAGTAAACAGGGTTGTGTTATCTGCATGATACAGGTTATTGATGACTCTTCCACCAATCCTGATGCCACATTCTTCGTACAGCCCAGCGTCTTGGATGATCTGTTCTGCATACAGATTGAAAAGGTATGGAGACACAATACATCCCTGATGGACCCCTTCTTGATTTTGAACCATGTACTCTCTCCTTGCTCTGTTCTGATGAATGCCTCTTGGTCCAAGTATAGCTTTTACATTAGTACAATCAAATGTTCTGGGAGTCCCATTCTTCTCAGAGTCAGCCAAAGCTTGTTGTGATCCACACAGTCAAAAGCCTTTGCATAGTCAATGAAGCATAGATAGACATTCTTCTGGTATTCTTTGCTTTCCGCCAAGATCCATCAAACATTAGCTAAAATATCCCTAGTACCACAACCTCTTCGAAATCCAGCCTGTACATCTGGAAGTTCTCTGTTGGCATATTGGTCCAAACTTTTTTGGATAATTTTCAGCAGAATCTTGTTTGCATGTGATATTAATCGATAATTTCTGCACTCTGTTGGGTCACCTTTCTTTGGAATGGGAACAAATGTGGATCTTTTCCAGTCAGTGGGCCAGCTGGCTCTTCTCCAAATTTCTTGGCACAACTTAGTGAGCACAACCAGGGTAGTGTCTGTTTGTTGAAACATGTCAATTGGTATGCTGTCAACTCCTGAAGCCTTGTTCCTCCTTCATCACCATAGGCTCTTGCTCATATGTTATTTCATGACATTCTTCTGTGTCCGCCAATTCCTTCTGATACAGTGACTCTGTGCATTCCTTCCATCTTCTCTTGATACTTCCTGGATCATTTAATATTCTTCCCAAAGTATCCTTAAGTATTGCCACCCGTGGCTTGAATTTGTTTCTCAGCTCCTTCAGCTTAAGAAACGCTGAGCGAGTTCCGCCCTTTTGATTTTCTGACTCCAATTCTCTGCACATTTCATTATAGTATCTTGCTTTGTCGTCCCAGGCTGCCTTTCAAAATTTTCTGTTTAGCTCTTTGATTTCTTGGTTTCTTCCTTTAGCTTTGGCTTCTCGGTGCTCTAATGCAATTTTTAGAGTCTGATCTGACATCCATCTTGGTCTTTTCTTCTTTTTTCAGCCTTTGTAATGATCTTTTGCATTTTTCATGGTCGATTATCTTGATATCCTCCCAGACATCATTGGTCTATGCTCATTGGCGCTCAAGGCCTCAAACCCGTTCCTGAGATCGTTTTAAAATTCTTATGGGATGGACTTAAGATCAAATTTTGGTTCCCGTGGACGTGATTTAATTTCCCTCAACTTCAGCTTGAACTTGCATATGAGTAGTTGGTGGTCTGTCCCACAATCAGCACCTGTGCTGGTTTTCACTGCTGATGTTGAGCTTCTCCACCGAGTCTTTCCACAAATGTAATCTATTTGATTCCTATGCAAAGCATCAGGTGAGATCCATGTGTATAGCCTGCATTTTTGTTTCTTATAGAAGGTATTTGCAATGAATAAATCATTGAATGTGTACAACTCTATCATTCTATCTCCAGCTTCATTTGGCTAGTGTGCACACACTGAAGCTTTGCCGGAAAAAGAGTTTTTTGGGAATCGGGGAGGAGACAGAAGCAAAGCTTTCAGATCTCCAAATTCTAACAAAGGTAACGTCAGGCCGCATTGGCCAGCGTTCGCACCCTGAAGCATTGCAGGAAAAGAGTTAAAAAGAAATAAACAATGCTTTTCTCTAAAGCCAACCGAATTCATTGGTCGAAACAGCATTAATTTAATTTTTAAAAAGAACACCATATAAAGTTTAGCATTTTTTGAGAACATTCAGTTGTTAAGAAAATGATCAATACCAATGTATGCTTTGTTTTCTAAACTAAGAGCTGAACCTTTGCAAAATGGAAAACTCATTCCAAGATATTGAGTCAGCTTAATGCAATCACCAGTGGTATGACCATTATTTTGAATATCCAGTTAAACAACAAGTTGGGACATGAAATACAACAAACATTTTTATTTTGTTGTGTAGTGCCTTACATGTTGCACTGCTGACTAAAAGGTAAGCGGCTTGAATCCATGTGCTGCCCCATTGGATGACAAGCAGTCTCCTCTCATAAAGACTTGGAAACTGAAAGGTTATGAGTTGGAATCAACTTGTTTGCTTTTTTATACTATTTGTTAGGAGGCCCTGGTACAATATGGCTGAACTCTCACCTGACAGTCTGAATATCTATAATGGTTCAATGGAAATGTAACCTATTACTCTGCTTCCATGAAGAACACAACTAAGGGAATCCTATAAGGTAGTTCTACTTTATCCCATGAGGTCACTGAACATTGACTCAGTAGTACCCAAAAACAATAACAATATACTATTTGTTACACTGTACGTATATATACACTCACACACATATGCTTTATGTATTGTAGTTGTTGGTATGTTGTTAATTCAGAAATGCCTCACAGCTGACCCTTCAAAGGGTTTTCAGAGGCAGTAAATTGCATAGGAGGATATTTTCCATTTTCCTCCTGTGACCCACCTGCCTTTGAGTTGGCAGCACAACTCCTTACCACTAAACCACCAGACCTGCCTGTGTGGTACTGTATAGAAGCACACAGTCAAAAAAACAATTAATGGTTTCTTCAGTCACCAAAGCAAACCAGACAATCAGTATCAGCTCTGCTAGTATGTGTATGTTTTATAAAAAGAAAATAAAAGAGAAAATTGCCATCAAGTCATCAGAGCTGCCTGTACTATGTATAGTAAGTATGTGCTATAAAATGTACATTACAAAAACATTGACATTTATAAGGAAGCATCAAAGATATTGATGATGTTCTAGTTTCAATATTTTTAATCAGAGTGGTAGGCACAAGGGTATGCACTGAATTAGTCTTTCTAAAACAAGTATGTCTAATATATTTGTTAATATGTTAAATATTTCATAAAAAGTTAAAATGAGATAAAAGTAAATGTTCTAAGATGAGTATGGACTTCATTTGTTTTTAAATTGTTAATGAACACGGAGCTTAGATTCACATAAGAAATTAAATAGAACCTTTCTTTTGTCCAGCCAGTGTGCATACTGGCCTCAGGGTTTCTGTGAAAGAGAAGCTTATAGTAACACAATTATAGCAAGATAATTTTGATGTCTTATAAAAGCAGACTTTGTCAATAAGTTCTGCTTCTTTAAAAATTTAATTTTACTCTTAGAAATTCTACATAAATTAACAACAAAATTGCAAGGTTATAACATACCTGATGAAAATGGAAAATTTTTAATTATTATTCTCCACCCATGAAGATACACACACAAATAGACAGCAGTTAATCAAAACTCATTGCATTGAGTTAGTTCTGACTCATACCGAAAGTATATTTATCTTTTTATTTTGATACAAATCAGCACCTTTCACAATAACTATTCCAGAGTAATAGAAAGTAATAAGAATTCAAACCAAATGTGGTAATTACCTTCAAACATTTTACCTGTAGCTTCCTCCAGAGTAGCAACATCAAGTCTGGGACTATAATTTCCATAGCCAGCAGCAGTAAAAGCCCGAATCTGGAAAACATACACTGTTCCTGGTTTCAGATTATTAATAGAGGCTGAAGTGGACTTGGTTTTTAGAGTTGAGTAGGTCCGCTCTCTTTGATCCTAGAAACAATATTTAGGGAGGATATTTAATTATGATTGCAACCAGGCAATCTGATAGCCAATTCTTACAATTTACTTTCATTTTGAGCTTTGTTTTTATAAAAGCTACATTGTACCCTGTGGAATATTACAAGATTGAGTTGTTTGTAGGATAATATAAAATGTAAATGTGAAACATATGCCTTTGTTCCATAACTTTCAAAGAGAAATAATTTTGTTAAAACGTTTATGATGTTTTGAGCATTTGCTTTGTTGGTAGAAGGCAATATCATATAGGCTAAAATATTAGTGTATCTATAAAATATGTGCTTAGTAGCATTTGTCACTTCATAATATAGGCTTAATTTTTCTATTATTCAGAAACTAAAGCACTATGGAAATTTATTAAATTAAGAAATTAGCATCATCACACTAATACAGCAAAAATTTTTCAAATTTAAAAATGCCTTTCACTCAATAACACAATACAAAATAGTATTATTGAATTTTTAAAATTAAAACTATAAAAACCAAATTAAAATAGAAAATTAAAACTATCAGTATAAAAGTTAAAATGAAAATGTATTTTAAACACCATAATTAAATATCTTATTTTTTTAAGTATGAAAATGATATCTCACAGTATTTGTTAAAGAATAAATTTATTGTATATTATTTATGAAAAAATACATATGAAGTAATTGTAAATCATAGGTAATATGTTATTCATGCTGTAATATAAAATACCTGTGCTCATTATCAGTGTGTGGTAGTAAAACTATTCACTGAACACTGAAGATGTCAGTATGTCAGACTGATTGATTCTGCAATACAATACTGCATAATGCAGTACTATTACAATTTTCCAATAATGGTCTAATTTTCAAATTTAATGAATGCATATACATTCCGGGTTTTGTAAAGCAAAACAGAAAAGCAACAATTTGAACTAATTTTTTTCCACAGCATTACTTGGGAAGAATAGCCACATTGCCATAAATTTTACTCTCACCAGTTAATTTATAGGTATTTTTGAAATGTGTTTTATCTGAAAGGAAACAAAATTGTTTTTTAAATCAGATACAATTTCATGGAGCACAGATCTTAAAGCTTATAGGAAAACAGATATGCCAGAATCATTTAAAATAATATTGTACTCAGAAACAAACTTGGTAGGATGAGAAATATGTTTCCTGATGTAAAATTTTAAAAAAAGATAGTCATAATATAATTTTGGCCATGAAAGTAGTCATTTATAAGTAAACAGGAGAAAATTATATAAATTGAGTTTAGGTATTAAAACTAATCTTGGTTTAAGCCGATTTTTTTTCTTCAAAGGAAAACCAAAACAATCCTATTATTAGCATATTATACGTATTTCAATTTTCAATCAAGTCAATCAAATCCAAAAGTTTATTTTAAATTGTTGGATTGTTTATACTCTGTTAATTTGATTCTCACTCATGGTGATCGCATGTGTGCAGCCTAGAACTGTTCCAAGAAGTTTCAAGCCTGTGGCCATTTGGAAGCAGGCATCTAAGTATGTCCTAACAACAGCTTCTCAGTAGGCTCAAACTTTCTAAGTTTTTTAATAATAGTTGACTACTTAACAGTCAGCACCACGCAGGGTCAGCCATTCCCTGTTACCACTTCAGTTTACTCTGCTAAGTCAATAATAGTAACATTCACTAATAGATCCACTCGATGACAACTAGTGCTAGTATTGCTACCAGTAATAGCAAATTATTATTAGTTTCAGTAGTTTTAAGATTTTAAATCTTGCATTTGGTCTTTCTGTGAAGCAGATCATAGCTACTGATTTGTTTTGAGAACAATCTTTGTCTCTTTTTACTGTTTTCTCTGAATAAGAAATAGAAACAGAATAGAAACAAATGTACTCATGCATGCTGATATTGCACTGTTTACTAAAATGTAGTATTATATTTAGGGAGACAAAAGGTCCAGTATTTAGCTGGTGACCTGGTGGGTAGTGAATTGCACTGCTAACCCAGAGGTATATAGTTCATCTCCACCAACTACTCCACAGAAGAAAGATGGGCTCTGATAGTGTGCTGTACAACCTTGAAAACCTGCTGCACAGTCAACGCTAAGTCTGTTCCAACTTGACAGCAATCATAAAAAACCTTAGATTTTAGTCATACTATCTTTGATGGAGTGAAAAGTATAAAATGTATAGGACAGAATTAGTATATCATAAACAAAATAAATTAGGAGAATTTTAAATGAAGGGAAAATCAAAACAGCTGTGCTAAACAGTAAGAGGGACACTTAATGAGACCTCCAATGTGCTAGCAGGGATTGCAGTTAGCATTTCATCTACATTTTTAAAAATCTTTAGAATAACCTCTGATTCTGAAGTTTATAAAGAAGATAAGAATATTCATTACAAAATACTACATTGTTTGTAATTACTAAGTTATTTGAGGCCTTTTCTTTACCATAGAAATTACATAAATGAAATAATTAAGGGCTGAAACAGACATATTAAAGAATATAACTATTCACAAATAAGGGAGTCTGCATAGTTTCTATTGCACTAAAATATATTACATCTAACCTGGTAATACCAAAAATTTAGCAAATAGAATATTTTCATTTGTGTAACATGGCAATGCAATACTTAGAAAACATAATGGCAGTAATGAACCAATGATTCAGGGAGTAGTTATTAAAAATGGCTAAAATTAAACATGAATTCTGAAGCAGTTCCAAATAGTTGGTATAATGACCAAATTTAGTCTAGAGTACAGTAGGCTGACACGAAACCCGGCGTATCGTTGTATATTTCAGCTGCTCATAGCACTTACTTTCTCATAATACTTGATTTCATATTCTGTGATGACTCCATTGGGATGCTCTGGTTCCTGCCAGGAAAGCTCCACACTCCGCTGCAGCACTCTCTCCTTCATTACTCCGCTCACTTGCGAGGGAGCTGTTTGGACAAGATGTGTCAATAAACAATGAGAAAATTCACTGGATGCTTCAAATCAAATGTCACAACTGATCAGTCCCATGCTGTGCCAGTTTCATTAAGGTAAAAGAAAGCACCTTTTCATAGCTCACAATTCAGAAGCTAATGAATATTCAAACAGGACCTTATTACTGTTCATAAACCTTAATAGAAATTTAAATTAAAGTGCAAACAGCAGAAGATAACATTGTTCAAGTTAGTGAAAAATGGAAATGATGGGGCCGAGAATGACAATTAAGCAAATGAATGCTAATTAAGGCTAGAAAATATGATTTCCGATTAATCTCTAGTGATAAACTAAGTCCAAATATTTATTTCGGATGCAATGACAATGTGTTTTTTAAAAGAAGACAATCATTTCATTGGGCAGAAGAAAAAGAAATGTCTCTGTAAATGACTATTTTAAACTTTAAGTACACAGATCACATCGACTTTTTTACATGTTTTTTATACTTCATATGTGTTGTATTGAGTGTGTGCATACATGAGCGGTTACAAAGAATATGATCATGGGAATATTTCATTATATGTCATTAGTTCAATTTCAACAAAATGCTCAAACTGATGCTACTTATAGAGGCATGTAAGCAAACATACACATGCCTATAATGGATTTACAATTTATAATCTATATAAGCTAAGTTCCAAACTTTGATAGAAACAATCAAAGCCACATTCTTGCTATTTCTCTTCATGTGTAGATAATATGCTTAGAGTGCCTTCATTCTAATTAGTGGCACATTCTCTTTTTGGTAGCTAAGATTGTGGAATGTAGCAAACTAATTTGCTCTAATTTGCTTGGTGATGATTAACTTGTTGTCTTCTTTGTCTAAATGAGTAGCTGCTCTACCTTGGCTGAATTTCAGTGGGGTCATTATGTTTCATGTATCATGCTCCACCTCATTTTGTACAATATTTTCAGGCTGCTAATTTAATTTTCAGATGTCCAAAACTGCTAATAATCCTGCTGACAGAAAGGCAGAAAGGCAATTATATGGGACCAAAGCCATTTACACAAGCTTCTAATATCTTTCTCTTTGGCTTTACTTTATTCCTACTACTTGACATTTTTAGTATCAATCTCTAGAAAGCACACTCTTCACTTCTGAGGGAAGAACATGGAAGATTCCTGACTCTTCTATCCTCTCAGATTACTAACAAAAGCATAAGTAGGCCAGATTAAGTGGGACAACTTTCCCTTGAAGGGAATGTAGATGAAACACTTAACAGATTGTGTTTATAGACTAAATGCAGTTCTGATAAGTTTCCAATAAAGCATATTTCTAATAAGAACCATATTTTTGCCATGATTTTTGAAATCAGAATATATTCAGCAAAGAATAATTTGGCTCTAAATTGATATCCCTCTCCCTCCAAAATATGCCTAGCATATATCAGCAGACGGTGCTTCCTCAGGGCGCACAGCTTGGGGAAAGTAACCTGAACTAACTGAGATATAAGTCTATTTAACAAATAATCTCTAAGTAAGAAATTTCTTACAACAGAGAAAATAATTTAGAAAAATCTTCAGAATGTTAACCTAAATTTGTGAGAAGAAAGAAAATGAAATCCAGGTGAGAATAATGCCTTCATCAACAAGGTGAAGTCTGAATTATCAGTAGGGTTACTTTTACAATTTACTTGGTATTTTTGCAATTAATCTAATAGGAAATAAGTTAAACAGTAAAATAATTTTGAGTTCTCCATCTAGCTTGGTGTGATTTTCAGGGTAAGTTCAAACTATAGTACACTTTACACAGCTTAACAGTAAAGATGACAAAGAAGACGGGAAATTTTAAATGTTGCATGTTATGCAGCTGAGTTGGTGAATAAATGTATCTCACTCAGTCTTTGATACATAATAACAAGTTTTGACTATAAGATTAGACTTGATTTCTGAAAATTATACTCTAGAATTAATTTTATTATTTGGTAATCATATTTCATATTTTATCCTGGAAAATAACTTTAACCAAAAAATTATAGTAAGTAGAAACTGAAATAAAACCATTGGAAATATTAGTACTTTTAATTCCTTATCATAACATTAACAGTGCATTATGCTACAAAGCTTTTTATCTTGTTGCATAATCATACACACATGTGACTACATTTCTCATATTTTAAATAAATAATTGTATATTTATTGTTCCTTATCCATGGCTTATTGTATCAAGCCACACATTTTAAGAGGTTCTGAGCTGAACTATTACATGTTAAATATACATGTTACTTGAGAATTGACAAATTGAACATGCAAACACATCTTTTCCTATTTTGTCTTTAAATTACAACACTTTGCATAGGAATGCTGATTAGTTTCCCTCAAATTCTAATAATTTTGGCAGAAGAATTTAAAAATAAAAACATCTAAGACAGTCACATTCCCACACTTCTCAGACACAAGTCACGTTATGGGCACAAGCAAAAATGAGATCCTAATCTTCACACACAATGACTTATAAAATTAATATATTGCATTTGATCTGTAAAATTAATTCTATAGTAATAATTTCACTATTTTCTCAGTAGTTCTTACATCAAACATTCAATCAAAAAAACTGAAGCTCATTTCTGATATGAAACATATAAGTAAATTATATATTAAAGAACAAATTGGATATTATGATATATAAATTACAATTTTAATAAATAAAGAATAAAATAATATTAGAATTGATATGAAGTTGACAAATAGTAGCAGTCATCATTAATATTCTTGAATTGAAATATATAGGAAAACAAATATATGGAGGGGAGCTGTATAACACAAATTTTTAATACTGCACCCAACAAAGGATTAATAGATTAATTTCTTATCTAGTTTTTAGAAATATCTAAAATTTTAAAAAAACCACCAATTCCAACTGAAGACACAGATGAAACTTTCTTTATCCTTAAAATCTTGCACATGTGTTGAGCATAGAAAAGAAAATTAAATTAAATAGAAGATACTATAAAACATATTATTAATCATATCTAGATTCTGCACAAATGACAGTAAAAGATGTTTGTTGGAAATTCAGAAAACGTTTGCTCTTTCTCAAGAGTGGTAAATTTTGCAGCATAAAAACAAAATTGACAAAAACTAATGAAATAGGGGAAATTATCTTTAGGACAGATCAGAAGGTATATTTGTAGGCTAGGTTTGTTAGTATGAGGCTTTGAATTAAAAAATAATCAGAAGTAAGAATGGTGGTTTATGTGCAGATCAGAATCAATTAGCATCTTACTAATTTTATGCTTCAAGCACTCATGGATGAGCTTTGATCTTAATCAATTTCCAATTAGAATCCATGAACACATGGTATATTTAAATTGTAGTATGAAATATATTCAAAGTGCTTCATATTTTCCCCTCAAAAGTTTAGGTTTACCTACATATATGTGGGAAATAAAACCCCTACCATGAAGTGGGAAAAAGACTTAATTTTACAACATTTAGCATCAAAGTCTGGCCCCTGGCTCCAGTGGCAGAAAAAAAAAGACTTGTTTCACTAATGCAAGAAACTGAATTCTCTCAATAATGGTAAAGCATTTGGAAAATGTATCTTCCCTGCCTCTACAGACAAGAGTCCAAACAAGCCAAAAACGTGGTATTAGTCTTGTGTAGCCATTGTGAGATGCTCCAGCAAAGTCATTCTGTAATCACATTTTAAATGTAAACAATAGTGAAATAGCATGTTATTTTCTGTCGGTAAGTTTTGTGGTAATATGCCACAGGAGCAATAAAAAAGTACTACATGTAGTAAAAAGGAGAGGAGATATATTGGAACTTTTACTAAGTCCATGAAGAAAGGGTAATAAAATAATATTTTAATAACATGCTATATCAAACTTTGTTGAAATGTCTAGAGCAAAGGAATTTAGATCTTGCAGAAGACTCAAAACAAACTTTTATAGGAAAGAACCTTCTAGCAAACAACTGAAAGACATATTTTTGCTGTTGCTGTTCAACTTTAGTGAAGCTCATATATTTGATTTACAAATTAAAAAGGTATCTGCATCCCAGTCATAATTTTCCCTTTAGTTGAAGTGTTCTCATCAAATTTGAATAAAAATTATAAAGTGGAAAATAATAAATGAATTCCTAAAGGAAACAAGGTCACAACAAGCATGAACTGACCTTTGCTGGAATCTCAAGTTATAGCAAATTTATTACTGTTTCTTAGATCTTTATTATTTAAAAGTAAAAAATGAAAACAAAATATCTTTAGAAGAAGAATATTTTTTATACTACAAATATTCTTTTACTGAGTATTATACTTGTTACATGTTATCAGTATGGAATTTATTTTTTACAGTTCTTTGAAGTAACAAATGTATTTATTATTAAAGGTTTAATATTTTATACAACTTTTAGCTTTTTTATACTTTCACACAGGTGTTTCATTTTTTGCCTATAGAACAAACATATAAAAATGCATATAAATTTATTCAATAACTTAGCATTAGACCATATGAATACATTGTCCAGAAGAAAATAAAGAAGTATAGTAATTATATTACTAGAGTTCACAGGAATATGTATAAAAAGCCAACATGTGACTTCAGTAAATTTTAATTTCTGGCATGAAAAAAAGACTCCGTTAAAATTATCAAGGATAAGTATAAAATTTCAGCTTTATAAAAAACCCCAAAATAAAAAAAAAAAACAAACAAAAAACCACCCTACGTGATTAATTAGAGTGGAGTGTACAGCAATTAAGAGTAACCTACTTGTGATTTTAGCCATGGTCTGTCTTCTATGTGTGTGAAAATTCAACAATAAATAAGGATGGCAGAAGAATTGAAGCCTTTGAGTTGTGGTGTTGGAGAAAATTGCTGAATACACCAAGGACAGTATAAAGAAACAAACATGTCTTGGGAAAACTGCAGCCAAACTGATACTTAGAAGCAAGGGTGGGCAGCTTCGTCTCACACATTTTGAACATCTTGTTAGGAAGAGCTATTCCTTGGAA